CCCACCAAATTTTTTTTTTGTAACTTTTATTTCCAAACTAAATTTTATAGCAAATATCCCCCCTTTCCCTTAGGTCATATTTTTTTAGACAAAATGCACCTATCACCCCCAAGTCTCCCACTACCCACGCACTATCTCTTGTCTCTCGGTTTGGTATTCACCTATCTCGGTCCGGCACATGCATGGCTCGTTCCGATAGCTATGGTTTGATCCAGCGTTTTAAAAAACGCCGAGTCGAACCGGACTCGCCCGGTTCGATTCGAAAATCGCGAAAAAGGGACCGGATCGGTGAAAAAATCGGAAATCGTCCTGTTCTAGAGAGAATCGGACGATTCCGCATAGTGACTCGCCGATTTACTGTGCAGAATCGGCGAGTCCGTGAAGAACACGGGTTGCACAGTGTTCTTCACGGATTCTTTGAAATTTGTCATTTTTTGATCATTTTTCTTGTTTTTTTTGGCATGTGATCTGATTTGCAGGCTGTAAACAGCTTTATTCAGCTTTTTCAAGGATTAAATGGTGGAAAAATTTGTTGTTTTTGGATCACGAAAAATTCGGTGTTTAGGGTTTCTGCCTTTTCTGAAATTTCATGCCAAATAGGGCATGAATCTTTCAAAATTTGTAGCCATTTTGATCTTAAAGCTGTGAATCAAAACCTTTTGTTACTAATTTGTGATAATCGTTGAGAAAAACAGAGTTTTTTGGAGATTGAAGGCTTCGGTTCACAAAATCAGGTAAGAACTTTTGGTTTTTTTTTTTTCGCCATTTGATTTATTTCACGGCATATTTTGAACATAATGAGTTCAATAATTAGGGTTTTTAATCTTTATTGTGTCTAGTATGATTTAAAATTTTCAATTTTACGTAATCTGGTCAATTACAGCAAGAAATATGATATGAACACTGAGATGTCTGCGGAACCAAATTCCGCTGTTTTTTTTTTTTTTTTTTACCGGCTTTTGATTTTGTTTTCATGATATATTAGAAATAATGTGTTAAAAATTTAGGGTTTTGATTCCTTATATTGTTGTTTATCAGAAAATATACTCAATTGGATGTAATTTATTCACTTAGAGGTGAATTTTTGAGTTAAAATCGCTTATGTAAAACGACTATGTGAAGAAAAGAATTTTTTTTTTTTTTTTTTTTTTTTTAGTCCCATGATAGAATTTTTTGTAATCCATGATCGAATTTTTTGTAATCCATGATCGAAA